CACCATGGAAGCAGCTGGAATGTAGAGGAGGGATCTAAGTCCAAGTGGGTAAGTGGGTTTGAAAAGCAGTAGAATTAAGTTTCCTACCAGGTTGCACAGCTCGAGGGAAACACCCTTGACTTCTGTAAGTCGGTGCCTTCTGCCTAAGGTCCTTCCCCGGGTCGTACCTGTTCCTGTTTGCCGAGCCTCTGAACTAATGTCCGGGATTGTAGTAAGCAGTCATGAGTGTTGAGTAGAAGTGAAGTGAACAGGCGCCAGCCTTGCTCCTCACCGGCTAGGGCAGCAGGGAGAGCCCCTTCCCATTCTCTGAGATGAAGGAAAACCGAGGGGAAGGCACGTCACACCTTTCTTGTGAAGTTCCCACTGTTGCAGGCGACACGCGTGCCAATAGGGCAGAGTCAGTGCTGCTGAATGAGCAGGTGGTTGGATCAGATCGGTGTTTCCCGCAGGGCAGTGTGAGATGACTTTAGGTGGCACACAGGATAGATGCTTTATTTTTTATTTTTTATTTTTTTAATTTTATGATAGTCACAGAGAGAGAGAGAGAGAGAGAGAGAGAGAGAGGGAGGCAGAGACACAGGCAGAGGGAGAAGCAGGCTCCATGCACCGAGAGCCCGACGTGGGATTCGATCCCGGGTCTCCAGAATCGCGCCCTGGGCCAAAGGCAGGCGCTAAACCGCTGCGCCACCCAGGGATCCCAGGATAGATGCTTTAAATGTTGATCATTGGTATTTATTAGAGAGTGTGTTTGGAGAAAATATTAGGTGGCACGTCAGACGGGGTATTAAAAGAGTGAGTTGATATAAAGGAGTATTAGGTTATGTGAATGTCATGAACATTTCAGAAGCAGCGTGGAATGAATGAAGGCTGAGTACAGGCCTCTCTAAATCTGAGGGTTTTGAGTCTTTGGGTTTTATTTATTTATTTACTTTCTTGGGGGGGGGGGGCGGAGAGAGACTGAGCAAGAGAGAGCGTGCGCAAGCTTGCCTGACCAGTGCTGGGGAGGGCCAGAAGGAGAGGGAGAGAAAGAATCGCAAGCAGGCTCCACGCCCAGTGCAGAGCCCGACGCAGGCAGGCCTTGCCGTCAAGACTCTGAGATCAGCACCTGAGCTGAAAGCAAGAGTCGGTTGCCCAACAGGCTGCGCCACCCAGGCACCCATGATTTCTTCTTGATATGTCCTGCGGTCACTGCCACGTCCTGTTAGGGTTGTCATTATCTGTGCAGGTGGACATGCTCCTCGTGCTCCTCATGGCCTGGCTGGACAGCTAGCTGCACCTGCAGCCCCTGGTGCTTCCGTCCACATCGCATTTAAGGGCCATTTGAAGAAGGAGCACAAATCCTGATTGCTGTTCGAGGTCATCCATTGATAGCTTCGGCTGAGATCAGGAAAGACTCCGTGACAGAACCCAGGGTCGGTGACTTGGAAGGAAATCTCGGAGTGGATGATGAGGATCACTTGAGAAGAAATGCAGGCTGGCCAGTGCTCTTGGCGACACGAAGATCAGTCATCGTTGTGTAGAAACTCCCAGAGATCCTGGAAGGGAAGACTTAAGCAACTCCTCTTCAGCAGCCTTTGCCTTGCAGTCCGTTCCAATAAGTCCAAACGGGCTTTTGATTAAGCAGACACAATTCCAATTGTAAGCACTCAGAGAAACCATTAACTACCCAACGGTGTTTCTTCTTTCTTTTCGGAGTCTTAACGGTTGATGGTGTCTTAGAATGAAACATGCCATTTGGTTAGGGTAGAGAAAGTTTAAACAGACCCATTGAGAAACACACACATGCCCCAGAAATCTCTGAGCAGGGTCTCCTGCTTCTCTGCTGTTGTTCAGCCGCCCTGCCTACCTCCTGCTACTACTGGGACATTCCAAGGAGCTTCCTGCCCCCAGAGCGTTTCTACCTGCGATTCCTCCTGTCTGGAATGCCTTCTGCACAGCTTTCTGCAATGGTGTCGCCCTCCACTCAGCCATCCCCTCTTCAGAGAAGCCTTCTCTCTCACCTTCTCTAAAGTAGATCCTTCCATCCCCCCTGCTGTTGTCCTTGTTCTGACCTAAGCTCTTCTTTCTGTCTCTGTCCCTGCCCTGCTTCACGCCTGTGAACCAATGCCCGGCCCTTCGCCGACGCTCCACAGATACGGCTTGACTGAATCCACAGTATTAAACTGATGGCAATACAGACGCTGCTCCATGTGTTCCAGGAGAGGGCAGTAGGAAGTACTTGGAGGAGCTCCCGGAGGAAGGCAGCTTGGTCAGCTTTTCAGCTGTTCGAGTGCTGGGCAGTGGAGCGAGCGAGCCAGCGCCTTCTTTGTGGGGCGTGCTCAGGCAGTGGCGTGGTGTTGTTGCAGGGATCTTGCCCTGGATGTGAGGGTTGAGCAGGTCGAGTCTAAGGGCCCCTCCCGCCAAACATCCACCTGTGAGGACTCTTCTCATCACCCGGCTGTGTGTGGTTCCTGCTCAAACCACAGGGATGGCTTCTACCACTAGATGGCGCCAGACGGTGCCTTTGAGGGCAGTGCCCCTCAGACCACCATCAGTGAGAACACCGTTTTCTTTCGTGTTTTAAATTACTGAAGTATACTCGGTCTGTACGATGTCATATTAGTCTCCGGTGTGCGACATAGCGATCGGACGAGTCTATACATTACTCAGCGCCCCCCACGATCAGGTACAGTCATCCTATGCCACTGTACAGCCTTGTTACAGTATTATTGACTCTATTCCCTGTGTTGTGCTTTTGTGTTGGTGGGTCATTTATGTAACTGGATGTTTGTACCTCTTAATCCCCTTCACCAGGGGCGCCCATCGCCCCCCCGTCCCCCCCCCCCCCCCAGCAACCACCAGCCTGCTTTTTGTGCTTAGAGTCTATTTTATTCTGTTTGTTTGCAGAACACATTCTTCAGGGCACTCCTCCCCTGAACACACACTTTCAACAGAAGCTTCCCAAAACAGCCTTTACCTCTTAGAGTGTGTAATGAATGTCGATATTTTCCGTTTTCCTGTAGTTGACTGCATTCTCTAAGATGGAGATTTGCAAACTGTGACATTGGTTTATGATACGGATGGGTCACAGTTCATTGTTTGGGAAGCATTATTGTAGACAACTGAGCCCGTTCACTCTGCAAAGCTCTGTGGGTCAGTTTCCCTTGGACCGTCTGGGCGTATAGCAAATTGTGTCCCTTAGTGAGTAGCTCATGTATTTCTGTGGAGTTGCTGCGTTGAGTAGCTTCCTTCTGAAGGCATAGCTTCCTTCTGGGTGTCTGTGGTTGTGGGAAGGTAGAAAGGAGAGACTGGGTGGGAAAATGTCGTGGATTAGCACAAACTGTAGTCAGGGCAGGGGTAAGGAAGCCTTGTCCGTGGCTATAACGAGAAGATTCGATATCACTTCTGGGCACTAAGAACGTAGCTGGGAGACGTCTCCTCTCTCTCTCTCTCTCTCTCTCTCTCTCTCTGTCACACACACACACACACACACACACACACACAGCTTACCCCTCTCAGCTTACTCATCAAGCAAGTGGAAATGAGCTACTGAACACAGGATATCACTTAGGATGCTTCAGGGTGCAAGTAAGCCAAGACCCAGCCCATCTTTCTCACTTACTTATTTATTTACTTATAAAGATTTTATTTACTTATTCATGAGAGAGACACACACACAGAGAGAGAGAGAGAGAAAGAGAGAGGCAGAGATAGAGGCAGAGGGAGAAGTAGCCTCCATGCAGGGAGCCCGATGCAGGACTCCGGGAGACGCCCTGGGCCAAAGGCAGGCACTAAACCGCTGAGCCACCCAGGCATCCCTAATTATTACTTTTTTAAAAAAGATTTACCTCTTTGTCTCAAAGAGAGGAAATGAGCAGGGGAGTGGAAGAGGGAGAGAGAGAATCTTGGCGCAGACCCCCTGCTACGTGTGGAACCTGACGTGGGGCTCGATCCCAGGACCCCGAGTTGATGACCTGAGGGGAAACCAAGAGTGGTCACTCCAACCGACTGAGCCACCCAGGCTCCCTTTAAAAGCTAAAGACAGGGGATCCCTTGGTGGCGCAGTAGTTTAGCACCTGCCTTTGGCCCAGGGCGGGATCCTGGAGACCTGGGATCAAATCCCACGTTGGCCTCCCAGTGCATGGAGCCTGCTTCTCCCTCTGCCTGTGTCTCTGCCTCTCTCTCTGTGATTATCATAAATCAAATAAACAAACAAACAAACAAGCTAAAGACATGTTTTAATTCACAGATACCCATTGAGGGGTAGAGTAGACTCCAGGTGCATAGTGGCTTGGCGTGGCCTTAGGGATCCAGGCTCCTGCCATTACTTCTCATTGTCCTAAGGCTGGCTCCGCTCCTGGTTGCCAGAAGACCTTCGGTGGTAAACCGGGCTTCAGCTCCCTGGCTCAGAATACTAAAACTTTGATCCTTGGGGTGTCGGCTGGGAAGCGTTTAGGCTCCCGTAGCCTTTTCCAGGTTGCAGTGTAGGCCACTCTAACACTTTCTCGGTTGTAACTGTAGTGTTTGTTTGTTCCTGGATTTCCCACCGTGACCTCCTCGAGGGACGTGGAATGAGCGGTATCTACTACAGAGTCGGGGAAATCCTTAGGTAGTGGTTAGTCTTACACAACGGTTCCGGTCTCCTTTCCTGTGGACACAGAACTTCTGGTTGAGCAGAGTTGTCTGAGTGGCTCTCACCCGTGAGTTTGCTGCGGAGTGAATGAGTGGGGGCAGGTCTCCTGGGTGAGGTATGAGGTGAGGTTATGTGCTCTCTAGGGTCCTGGGAAGGAGTTGGCCCTATGAAGAAAGAGAGGGAAGAAATGGCCGCTGTGGGGAGGGTGAGGGGCTGTGTGTGTGTGAGCAGCAAGACGGATGGCTGCGCCTGTTGACATGTGTAATGGAGCGCCAGATGTGCACGTGTTGGCCTTTTGACGTAGGTGATTTTCCTGCTTGACCTGGTTCCCGAGAATGGGCCTGAACCTGCTGACCTCTACTCACCTGCCTCCTTTCGTCCCTTCCAGGTTTGCAGTAAGCATTGGCTACTGGCATGACCCTTACATCCAGCACTTTGTAAGACTGTCTAAGGAGAGGAAGGCTCCCGAAATTAACAGAGGCAAGTGGTGACCCCCGCCCCCTTCTTCCCGAATGTCCTCTCATTAGCACAGAGGCCTGAAGTTTTGGAGATTCGTTCTATTTTTTTTTTAATATAATTTTTCTTCATATTTTTTTTTAATTTATTTGACATTGAGAGTGAGAGCATGGAGAGTGGTTGGGGGACTGAGGGAGAGTGAGAAGCCGACTCCCCATTGCGCAGAGAGCCCGATGCAGGCTCGATCCCAGGATCTGGAGATCATGACCTGAGCTGAAGGCAGACACTGAGCCGACAGAGCCACCCAAGCACCCCCAGGGATTCCCTCTTAAAATGAGAGTTCCAGTGTTCACTCTCTCCAGTGGTTTCTGAAGTGCTTCTTTCCCAGCATGCTCACCAACATAGCGTATCATGAAACTTCTCATCTTTGTTTATCTGATTTGTGAAAAATGCTATCTTTACAATAATTTTATTTTATATTCCTCCTATTTTGTGGTGAAGTTAAAGATCATTTTTACATGTTTAAAAGTTTTAAAGTGGTGGTACCTGGGAATAGGGACAGGGTAGTTACTTGAGGCGAGGGTGAACCCAGTCATCAGGAAGATAGGGCAAGGCCTGGCTAAGAGGCCTCAGGCCTCCGTCCCATGCTCTTGTGGCAGCGTTCCTAACAGATGCTGCAGAGCCAGGGACCCTCTATCGGGCATCAGGAGGTGGGTGCCCCAGGAAGATTAGCAGCCATCTGTCCTTCCCAGATAGCCTGTGGTGAGCATCTTTAAAATATTTTCCCCAACATCTAGTCTGTTGTGGATGATATACTTTAACACACAATAAAGATGATTTACTGGATGCATAAAATACAAACTCAAATTATTAATTAGGAGAATCAGTAGACAGAATTCCTATGTCCAATTGCTGTAAGTCTCTAAATGCCACTGCAGTGAGGTTTAAGATAGTCATCCTTTCAGCAGCGGGGCTTTAGAATGCAAATTGTATTCCTTTCCCCCCTCTTCGATTTCCCATCTCCTGTGCTCCAGCTCCCCACCTCAGAGCTGAACAATTCAATTTTTTCAGCAACATTTGCCTGGTGCCTTTCTCTCCCCCAATCACGGAGGCCATTTTATAAACATAGAAGCTCTTACCCACTCGGCATGGAGATGAAGGGAAAGTTTTAAGAAAAACTTTTTTTTTTTCCTTTTTGCTTTTATATTTATCTGCCCCGTTCCTGACCCCAAAAAACTATTTTTGTCATGATCTTCTATTTTAACTTTTAACACAGGCCTAAGGAGCTTTCACCTAGCCAGGAGAAAACAGGTTTTGAAGAGGAACAATTAGATCTGATATTTTGTTGCAAAACACTTGTCTTTCCTAAGTGAAATCATGGGACAGTTTATTTTTCAGATAGGTAATTCCACTATTAAATAGATTGTACTTGCGTTGGTTCAAACAGCTTTAAAAGGGGATAGAATTTGAAAGTCACTGTTACTCTTGTGAATTTCACAGATAAAGCGCTGACCCTGCAGAAGAACAGAAGTGTCCTGTTTTGCTGTTCTCCTGGGGTGGGCTTTGCAGGGATGTCTGATGTCTGACCTCCATGAGCCATAGCTTCTGTCTGTCTCTCTTTCAGGATATTTTGCTCGAGTCCACGGCGTCGATCAGCTTATCAAGGCCTTTCTACGGAAGACAGAATGTCAGTGTCAGATTCTAAATCTTGGGGCTGGGATGGATACCACCTTCTGGAGGTTAAAGGTATATTAAAACTCCCCTTCTTGGGGATCCCTGGGTGACTCAGCAGTTTGGCGCCTGCCTTTGGCCCAGGGCGCGATCCTGGAGTCTCGGGATCGAGACCCGCATCGGGCTCCCTGCATGGAGCCTGCTTCTCCCTCTGCCTGTGTCTCCGCCTCTCTCTCTCTCTCTGTCTCTCTGTCTCTCTCTCTCTCTCTCTCTCTCTCTCTCTCTCAGTGTGTCTATCATAAATAAATAAATAAATCTTTAAAAAAAAAAACAACTCCCCTTCTTGTTTGCCAAATTGTTTTGTTTTGTGAAGGTGCCTGCGTGGCTCAAGAACGTTAAAAATATATTCAGAGGGAATCCAGTGACCGGCTGCCGGTCTCTTCACCCCATCGCTAGGTGCTTGCGCCTGCTGCCACCATCAGCCACCTACGTGATGTCACTAGGGCCATAGTGGAGGATGTGCGTCTTGATTGTCATCCTTTGCTGTTACAAACAGGGCTTAGGATCAAACTCCTTGTATACATTGCGTGTGCACGTGTGGAAGAACCCTGCCAGTGGATTTGCTGAGACTGACAGCCCATGCATTGGCCATCCTGACAGTAACTGAGATTTTGTTGTCATCAAGACAGCGTGTGCGGTATAGTTTGGAGATGAGCGAGGCTGGGTGAAGGTACTATGACAGAAAGCCCTTTTGTAGCTCTTCCCTGATGTGATTCCCCCCACCTGTGTTAGGGATCAAGAACAGGTATCGTTCGTTGCACTCACTCACAGGAAAGGGGATGGTCCCGTTAGTGGCGGAACCAGGACCGAAGCACCGGTCTTTGATGCCGGGCTAGAATCGTACCTGCCCACCTTTTCCCTACAACACCTTCACTGATTGCACCTTCCTTTTTGTAGGTTCGTACAGATTTTTCTCAGTTCTTCTATCAGGTCCGTCATGTGGCAGTGATGGGTACGTGCGTTTCCCCAGGTTTCTCGCAGACGTACACCAAGAAAAGTCCGTGTGTGGGGGCCTAACAGCACCTGCATAGGCATTTTGTCCCTAATCAGTTCACTTAATAAGGAAGTCTTTGGTTGTCAGTGCGCTCGACCTTTCTGCTACTCAGGCAAGAACCCAGCAGCCTCAGCACCACCGGAGTAGTCATTGTTTGCCCCTGCACTATTCATTCAGGATAGGATCGCTAACGTTTATGAAGTGCTGGCAGTTATGGGACCTTGTGAATTAATGTGAGAGCTCTGGGGTGGGAGGGTTAGAGATCGGGAAAGGGGGTGCTGCAGGAGCCTGTGTCTTCCCCAGATTGGGCGGCCAGTGGGGCTGATGCCTGGAACAAACTGTGCACTACAGCTCCGCCATGTCCAGGCTCCGCTCCTGTTCTCTGCACAGAGCCCTGTGGTTGTTCAGGGGGGTCTTTGCCGTACATGGGGCAGTGGTGCCTCTGTACCTCAGAGACTGTGCTGTGGGGGAAAGACCCGGGACAAAGCACAGTGGCTGGCAGAATGTGGACCGTGGTCACAGAAGCCACTGAAGAAACGCCTCCTTCTTGCCTGACACCCTTTCGACCTGATCTCATGATTTGGTATCTCTCCTCTGTCATGTAGGTGCGTTACTAATGAATACATCTGAGAGTTTTATTTCTGAGCAAGGTACGCCGAGACTAAGTACCCCTTCCAAGAAAAAGGTTCTCTGTCAGGAGTGAGGGAGGTGAATAACACAGGGTCTCGAAATTTTCTGGAGGTTTTTTTTTTGTTTGATAATTATATTGTTCCAAAGAGTTTTTAACAAATCAAAGTTTGTTTTTTTGTTTTTAAAGATTGTATTTATTTATTCATGAGAGACACAGAGAGAGGGAGAGACCCAGAGAGAGGGAGAAGCAGGGTCCCTGCAAGAGCCTCATGCAGGACTGAATCCCAGGACCCCGGGATCATGCCCTGAGCCAAAGCCTGATGCTCAACCCCTGAGCTACCTAGGTGGCCAAAATCTAGGTTTCTCTGGGGAAAAAAATCCTGTTTGCTCTTTGGAACCCAAGCCCAGTGGGCCAAATTTAGCTTACAACCTCTTTTTGTGGGAACCCTGGGTGGCGAAGGGGTTTGGCGCCTGCCTTTGGCCCAGGGCGCGATCCTGGAGACCCGGGATCGAATCCCACGTCGGGCTCCCAGTGTATGGAGCCTGCTTCTCCCTCTGCCTATGTCTCTGCCTCTCTCTCTCTCTCTCTCTCTCTGTGTGACTATCATAAATTTAAAAAAAAAATTAAAAAATTGGGATCCCTGGGTGGCGCAGCGGTTTGGCGCCTGCCTTTGGCCCAGGGCGCGATCCTGGAGACCCGGGATCGAGTCCCACGTCGGGCTCCCGGTGCATGGAGCCTGCTTCTCCCTCTGCCTGTGTCTCTGCCTCTCTCTCTCTCTCTCTGTGTGACTATCATAAATAAAAAAAAAAAAAAAAAAAAAAAAAAATTTAAAAAAAAAAAATTAAAAAATTAAAAAAAAAAAGATCTCTTTTTGTAAGTAAAGTTTTATTGGAATACGGCCGCTGCCATTGACCTACATCTTCCCTACCTCTGCTTTACCACCACAGCAGCTGAGTTGAGTAGTTAAAGCAGGAGCCATCTTGTGGCAGCCCGGGTGGCTCAGCGGTTTAGCACTGCCTTCAGCCCAGGGTGTGATCCTGGAGACCCCGTATTGAGTCCCACGTTGGGCTGCCATCATGGAGCCTGCTTCTCTCTGTCTCTCTCTCTCTCTGTATCTCTAATAAATAAATTAAAAATATTAAAAGAAGAAGAAGAAGAAACCTTCTGGCTCGCAAAGGCTGAGATACTTTCTGGCCCTTCACAGCAAGCTTGCTGAGCCCTGTGTTGAGATATATGTGCTTCTGTAACAGAGTGGGGAAAATTGTATCTTCCAGTCTTGTTGTCTCATGCACTTTCCATCTCGGATGGTCCCCTGGCAGCACCAGTAGAGGCTTAGCTGGGAGTCACAGGCGTTTTGCTGCCACAGTCGTGGGAGCTTGTCCTATAAGATCTCGGGGTCCCTAAACTGTTGGGGCAGTTGACGTCTCCCACCTTAAGGCAGTGGACCCTATTAGGACCCTGGAAAGCCTGCACGGCCACAAACAGAATAAAGGCAGACTGAACCCCTGTGAGGGACCTCGGCTTCTTGGTGTCTCCTGAATTCTGTTTCCACACAACCGAAGGATCAAGTAGGCGGGGATGGGTCTCAAGTCGGGCAGCCCGTGTCGTGGCCAGCCTTTCAGTCTGAGTGATGCCCTTTCTCACAGCTGCCTCTGGCTGCCCTACAGTATGAGGCCCCGTCTTATATGTCTTGCCTTCCTCATATGACACATGAGTTCCTGGCAAGTGGAGTGTCAGAAGGCTTTAGGGAATCACAGAATAAAAGCCAAAGTGTCACATGCCACAGCCATTTTGCTTCTTTGCCAAGGCCGAGAGAGAAGGTATGTGTTCCTTAGAAGCTCCAGGTGTGCCTTCTGGAAGCCTTCCCTCCACAGTGACCCCTTACTCAGAATTCTAATGAGGGCCAAGTGGCTGATGCATGGGAAAGCTCTTTGTGTTTTGTTTTGTTTTGTTTTTTTAAGATTTTAAAAGTTATTTTAGAGAGAGTGAGCCAGGGTGAGGGGCAGAGGGGGAAATAGAATCTTGAAGCAGACTCCTCCCTGAGCTTGGAGCCCATCTTGAGACTCGATGCCAGGACCCTGAGATCATGATCTGAACCAGAATCAAGAGTCAGCCTCTCAGTTGACTGAGATACCCAGGTGGCCCAAGGGGGAAAGCTCTGTATAATAAAGTAAGAAGTTCTATAGGAGGGACACCTGGGTAGCTCAGTGGTTGAGCATCTGCCTTTGGCTCAGGTCATGATCTCGGGGTCCTGGGATCAAGCCCACATCAGGTTCCCTGCAAGGAGCCTGCATCTCCCTCTGCCTATGTCTCTGCCTCTCTCTGTATCTCTCATGAATAAATAAATAAATAATATCTTAAAAAAAAAAAGTCCTATAGGAGATGTAGGATTATATGCTGTCCCGGATTTGCTTTTAATTGTTCTCATTGTCTTTGGGGATTTTAGATTGTCCTTAACCTTTCATATCGTGTGAGAACAGTTCTTGAAGGGTGCTGTCGAGTTTCCTAGCAAAAGTTATGTCCTCCTATGTCCTCAGCATTTCCTCCAGATCCCTTCAGATAGCTCGTCTGTCCTCGTGCTCTGCATACAGGCCAGCATGTGTGGGGATTCTGAGCATGAACGGTTGAGGTGGGTGAGCTTATCTCCTGTGATGTGTCAGGAAATGGTCTTTTTCTCTGTTATCCTGTCCCCCTCTCTCCCTCCCCTCCTTTCTCCCACACTAGATCCCCTGAGATTTTCCACCTGGGTGGGGGCTAACTGGATCTCACAGTTCTGACACTTGCCCTCGGGTCCTCTCCCACAAGAAAATGCTTGCTCTTGCCTTCTGCCCCCATCATGCTGGGCCGGGGGTGGGTGTTCCCCCAACTCCCCACTGCCCTATCCCTGTTTCCCATCACTTGATACTATCTACGTATGTGAGGCTCTTCCTGTGTAGTTGCTCAAGTCAGAAACGATTGTGTCCTCCTGACCCCTGCTTTTCCTTTAGCCAGCCAGCACCTGCAAAGCCACCACCACATTCTGGACACCAGCAACTGTCTTTCTCTTTGTCTTTTTTTCCCCCTTTTAAATCAGTGGTTCTGTATGCCTGAAATATAAGTACAGGTGGACATGGGGGTGTTGAAAGGAAACATGGGGGGATGCCGAACAAGTCACCGGGTTGTAGGGAGCCTTGTTTCTTGCCAGGCCTAAGGAGTGTGAGGAGCTGCTGCAGGCAGTACTCAGTGTGTCATTAAAAGAGGCCAGAAAGGGATGTCCCTACGGTCTGTGCAGTTGGTGAGCTGAGGAGAGAATGCGTTCAAGAATAGTCATCAGGGCTGAGTGAGTGATTGGACACGACAGATGGAGAGTATGTGCTCAGATGGCCAGGGGCTGACCAGGCTGGGTACGCAGAAGGGGGAGCAGGGCCGTGTGTGTGTGTGTGTGTGTGTGTTTATGTCTGCATATGAGTGTAATTGTGTCTCTCTCTGTGTCTATGTGTCTGTGTCTATGTGTGTGTCTCTTGTGTCTGTGTGCGGGTCCTTGTGTGTCTGTGTGTATGTGTGTTTGTCTCATTGTGTGTGTGTTTGTGTGTCTCTGAATATGTGTTTCTGTGTATGTGTCTGCGTGTCTGTGTGTGTGGCACTTATTTTATTGCAGCCCTCAGTAAAAATAAATGTGCATCCCGGTCATGCCCCATATGTGTGTATTCGTGTCAGTGAGTAGTAAAAGTCCAGCAATGTCACTTACTGAGGCAGGCCATTGTGAGTGTCACTCGTGTATTTATTTCCTCATTAATCCTCACACCCCCGTGAGGTGCTGTCATTTCATCTACTGTACACACGAGAAAGCTTGGCCCAGGGAGTTTAGTGACTTCCAAGACTTCACAGCAGACACATGTTGGAGCTAGATCTGAACCCCATTCTCCCACTCCAGAGGGACTGCCCTTTACCACCAACCCTGCTTTCCAAAATCACGTGAAAAATAGATTTCTGACCGTATTGTTCCTGACTTAAAACGCCCCATTGCTGTTTCAGGCCTAGTACTCATACATGAAGATGATCAGTAAGTTGTATGAGTGAATACATACTTAGAAAACTTACTGTGTATCTTTCCTCAGGATGAAGATCTGCTCCCAAGTAAATATTTTGAAGTCGACTTTCCAATGATAGTCACGAGAAAGCTGCATAGCATCAAGTAAGTGTGGGTTGGACCAGAGGACAGAGCCGGGTGGATTCAGAGGCAGCGTTCAGTAGGGGCCAGTCTTAATTCCAGAGACCTCATTTTAGGGGACTCTTCCCTTGACCCCATCCCCCCCCCCCACTTTCTTGCTAACCTTGGGATCGTCATTCTAGCCTGTCGAGCAGTCTTCACAATGAAATATACCCTGCCTTGTGGCTGTTCTGTCCATTAACGTCATTTGAAAGAAATGACCTATAGTAGTTTCATCATCTGGGTTTTTTTTTTAAGATTTTTATTTATTTATTCATGAGAGACACAGAACAAGAGAGAGGCAGAAACACAGGCAGAGGGAGAAGCAGGCCCCGTGCAGGGAACCTGATGTGAGACTCGATCTCGGGTCTCCAGGATCATACCCTGGGCTGAAGGCCGGCTAAACCGCTGAGCTACCCGGGCTACCCTCATCTGGGTTTTTAATGTATATTTTGTCTAGTTCTTTATCTTCAAGGCATAGAAAAGTGCCCAACCTAGGGCACATGCATAGTAAATATTGTTTGAGTGAATGAATGGAATGCTGAAGTTAGTCGCTCACTAACCAGACAAAAACCCCACCAAAAAGGAGAATTATAGATCAATATCCCTGATGAACACAGATGCAAAAATTCTCAACAAGATACTAGCTAATAGGATCCAACAGTACATTAAGAAGATTATTCACCATGACCAAGTGGGATTTATCCCCAGGATGCAAGGCTGGTTCAACACTCATAAAGCATTCAATGTGATAGATCATATCAATAAAAGAAAAAACAAGAACCATATCATCCTCTCAATAGATGCAGAGAAAGCATTTGAAAAAATAACTGCATCTTTCTTGATCAAAACTCTTCAGAGTGTAGGTATAGAAGGAACATTCCTCAGCATCTTAAAAGCCATCTATGAAAAACCCACAGCAAATATCATTCTCAATGGGGAAACACTGGGAGCCGTTCCCCTAAGATAAGGAACATGACAGGGATGTCCACTCTCACCACTGCTATTCAACATCGTACTAGAAGTCCTTGCCTCAGCAAAGACGCAACAAAAATAAAAGCCATTCAAATTGGCAGAGAAGAAGTCAAACTCTCCCTCTTTGCAGATGACATGATACTGTACATAGAAAACCCAAAAGAGGGGATACCTGGGTCGCTCAGCGATTTGGCACCTGCCTTTGGCCCAGGGCGCGATCCTGGAGTCTCGGGATCAAGTCCCGCGTCGGGCTCCCAGCATGGAGCCTGCTTCTCCCTCTGCCTGTGTCTCTCCCTCTCTCTTTCTCTCTCTCTCAAATAAATAAATAAATCTTAAAAAAAAAAAAAAGACTCCACCCCAAGATTGTTAGAAATCATACCCCAGTTTGGCAGTGTGGCAAGATACAAAATCAATGCCCAGAAATCAGTGGCATTTCTATACACTAACAATGAAACTGAAGAGAGAGAAATTAAGGAGTCAATCCCATTTACAATTGCACCCAAAGTATAAGATACTTAGGAATAAACCTAACCAAAGAGGTAAAGGATCTATACCCTAAAAACTACAGAACACTTCTGAAAGAAACTGAGGAAGACACAAAGAGATGGGAAAACATTCCATGCTCATGGATTGGAAGAATTAATATTGTGAAAATGTCAATGCTACCCAGGGCAATTTTACACATTCTATGCAATCCCTATCAAAGTACCATGGACTTTCTTCAGAGAGTTGGAACAAACAATCTTAAGATTTGTGTGGAATCAGAAAAGACCCCAAATAGCCAGGGGAATATTGAAAAAGAAAACCAGAGCCAGGGGCATCACAATGCCGGATTACAGGTTGTACTACAAAGCTGTGATCATCAAGACAGTGTGGTACTGGCACAAAAACAGACACATAGATCAATGAAACAGAATGGAGAATCCAGAAATGGGTCCTCAACTCTGTGGTCAACTAATATTCAACAAAGCGGGAAAGACTATCCACTGGAAAAAGGACAGTCTCTTCAATAAATGGTGCTGGGAAAATTAGACAGCCACATGCAGAAGAACGAAACTAGACCATTCTCTTACACCAGACACAAAGATAAACTCAAAATGGATGAAAGATCTAAATGTGAGACCAGATTCCATCAAAATCCTAGAGGAAAACACAGGCAACACCCTTTTTGAACTTGGCCACAGTGACTTCTTGCAAGATACATCTATGAAGGCAAGGGAAACAAAAGCAAAAATGAATTATTGGGACTTAAGATAAAAAAGCTTCTGCACAGCCAAAGAAACAGTCAACACAACTAAAAGACAACCTACAGAATGGGAGAAGATATTTGCAAATGACCTATCAGATAAAGGGCTAGTATCCAAGATCTATAAAGAACTTATTAAACTCAACAGCAAAGAAACAGTCAAATCATGAAATGGGCAAAAGACATGAACAGAAATTTCACCGAGGAAGACAGACATGGCCAACAAGCTAATGAGAAAATGCTCTGTATCACTGGCCATCAGGGAAATACAAATCAAAACCACAATGAAATACCACCTCACACCAGTGAGAATGGGGAAAATTAACAAGACAGGAAACAACAAATGTTGGAGAGGCTGTGGAGAAAGGGGAATCCTGTTGCACTATTGGTGGGAATGTGAACTGGTGCAGCCACTCTGGAAAACTGTGTGGAGGTTCCTCAAAGAGTTAAAAATAGACCTGCCCTACGACCCAGCAATTGCCCTGCTGGGGATTTACCCCAAAGATACAGATGCAGTGAAATGCCGGAACACCTGCACCCGATGTTTATAGCAGCAATGTCCACAATAGCCAAACTGTGGAAGGAGCCTCGGTGTCCATCGAAAGATGAATGGATAAAGGAGATGTGGTCTGTGTATACAATGGAATATTACTCAGACATTAGAAACGACAAATACCCACCATTTGCTTCAACGTGGATGGAACTGGAGGGTATTATGCTGTGTGAAGTAAGTCAATCGGAGAAGGACAAACATTACCTGGTCTTATTCATTCGGGGGATATAAAAAATAGTGAAAGGGAATAAAGGGGAAAGGAGAGGAAATGAGTGGGAAATATCAGTGAGGGTGATGGAACATGAGAGCCTCCCAACTCTGGAAAACGAACAAGGGGTGGTGGAAGGGGAGGTGGGCAGGGGGATGGGGTGACCGGGTAACGCAGGCACTGAGGTGGGCACTTGACGGGATGAGCACTGGGTGATATGCTATATGTTGGTAAATGGAACTCCAATAAAAAAATAGAAAAAATTTTTTTTGCTTGAGAAGAGGCAGGAAACCAGAGATAGCTTGGGAAACACTAAACATTGGGAAAATTCTTGCCATGATTTCTGAGTCTTCAGTATTTCATGATCAGATTGTGAGTTGACATCAGATTCTGAGTGTAGTGCTTAGTGACCTAGCCTGAGAGTCGATCCACAAAGTTTTACTGCGAGTGCCGAGGACCGAATATCATGAAGCAGAAGTCCCTGTGGAGCGCTGCTTTGAACAGGAGCAGGATGTACTTGCCATTTCTTTAGTGGATTTTTGCATTTTTGCTGAAACTGTTTGCATTTTTCCTCATTTCTCTCTCTCTCCCATCTTCCCAGAGTCAAGCCTTTCTTATCACAACCCATTATAGAATTACATGCAGACGACACACTTCAAATCGGCAAGTACCCTTAACCTAAGTGATAGAGTATGGACTATATGACAATCTTTGCTTTTTGTCCCGCTTTTCCTCTTAAAGATGGTGTGTTGTGTATATATGTGTGTATGTGTGTGTGTGCCTATGTGTATGCACACATGATGTCAGACAGCATGTACTCTTGCTGATACATTTCCACTGCATCACATTTACTGTGAAGGAGTTTAAAATGGTTGTTTGACTGGCTCTTCTTAGATATCCATAGGACCCCGATCCTAAATCTTTAAAACATTTTTTTCAATGAGTTGCAAATGTTTCAAAAATAGATTTTTTTTTTCCTGAAAGTCTCCATTTCCAGATTTCCTTGGGAAAATCCAATCTGGCAGCATGAAACCCTGACTCCTGCATGGTTGCCTCATGGAGGAGGGCTGTGCGTCCTCCATTTGTGTCCCCTCTGCTCCCTGTTGTCTTGTACCTGACCTGTTCCACCTGTTATGTTACCTCCTTGGCCCCTGTGCTCGGTTTTCCCTCTCATGTTTTAATTATAAATGTTTCCAACAACTGTTCTAAGCCTTTTGAACCAAGGTAAACCTCTTCCAGAATGTTCCCATCATATTCAGTCTGTGTCTGGCAGAGAAGTTCAAAGGACTTAGTAATAATTCAGGTGAGAAAACATGGCCAGGGAGGATGGCCTTCTTGGAAGATGGACACAGATAACACAGTAAACATCAGACAACTAGACAGGCCTCTATGCAACTGCAGTGCCATGGTCATGCTCCTAGCGAAGAAACTCCCACAGAAATAATATCTCCCCCAGCCTTTGTTTCCTTCATGCAGATTTTAAGTAGAACCTATTCAGACACTGCCATTTTCTGGCCTGTTTTCTCCACATGGAAGCTACCACAATTTTCTATATATTTGGTTAATACCTGTGTCAGAATGATTACCTATAATGAAAGAGGTAACACTTTGCATTACTTTGAATCCATCAATGCAGAAATATATGAGGTAAAAGTAAAGGCTCTCCATAAGCTCTACCCTCACCAAGATAACCAATGTTTAGAGTGTTTTCTCCTATGGATGCATAATAACATCTAGAGACAGATAAATATGACACATAAGAAAACACACACAGAAATATAATCCAGTGCCTGGTATATAAAAAGTTTAATAAATTTTTGTTGAAAGTATATATATATATATATATGCATTGAATAAATACATACAGGATCCCTGGGTGGCGCAGCAGTTTAGCGCCTGCCTTTGGCCCAGGGCGTGATCCTGGAGACCCGGGATCGAATCCCACGTCGGGCTCCCGGTGCATGGAGCCTGCTTCTCCCTCTGCCTGTGTCTCTGCCTCTCTCTCTCTCTCTCTCTCTCTCTCTCTCTCTCTGTGTGTGACTACCATAAATAAATAAAAATTTAAAAAATAAATAAATACATACATACATTGTTCAACAATATATCTGTTAAATGAGTAAATCTATAGTTTTTTGGTTTTATTTTTTTAATATTTTATTTGAGAGAGAGAAAGAGAATGAGCACACAGCAGGGGTTGGGGCAGAGGGAGAGGGAGAAGCAGGCCCCTGGAAGAGCAGGGAGCCCAACTCAGGGCTCAGTCCCAGAACCTGGAGATCATGGCCTGAGCTGAAGGCAGCTGCTTAAGCGACTGAGCCCCCCAGTCACCCTTGTATTTCTAAAAAAGAAATAGATTTATGTATAATTTTAATAAGGAGGATAATTTACACATACTGCTTTATAACTTGCTCTTTTTGCATCCTAGTGAATCATGGCTGTCTTTGTGTTGCCATAGATAGGTTTACTTCATTATTTCTGATGGCTTTATAGTACTCCTTTGCATGGAAATTCCATTTTACTTAATGTGTTCAGTACTGATGGTTCTTTAGATTGCTGTGTTTTTTTTATGGTTTTCTATTAAACAGTGTTGTAGAAAGCATAGGTACGTGTGAATTTTTGCAGGAATTGCTAGCTCACAGAATTGTGCCTTACAAATTCTAATAGCTACTGCCAAACTGCTCTTCAAGACCCTTTTTACTAATTTGTATTTTCTCTCAAATAGATGAGGGAACTCTGTTCCCTCACTAACATTGGCTATTACCATTTAAAAAAAAAATTCTGCCAAACCTATTAATTAAAAATTTTTTAAATGACTTTGAATGTGCTAATGAGATGCAGCATCCTTCCTTCCTTTTATTGGCCTGTGGGATTTCTTTGTAAATTTTCATTTTATTGCCTATGTTCATATTTGTTTCAGTTGCTTTGTTTCATTTTCTTTTCAATTGATAGGAGCCCTTTATACCATAAAGATACGTTCTTTGATAAAAGTCCCTTGTCAGCCTTTTTTGGGCACCTTTTTTTCTTAGTCTTTTGCTTGCTTTTGAACTCTGTATGTATGTTTGATGTAAGCACATTTTCTGGTCCTGTCCTTTATAGTTTTTGATCTTGCCCTCATACTGAGAAAAGATAGTTCAAATAGAAATAAATAAAATACAAATGTGAGTGAAGACTTGAGAAAAGTGATAGGTCATCATAAAACTGTTACAAATTTAATTGAAACATTATCCTATTTCATCAAACCTATGAGGCTGCGACTGTGAGATTCACTACTATTTATTTATCATTAGGAAAGAAAAAGTGCTGACAAATTAAACTGGTATGTTATTGACTATTCGATGCATCCTGATTTCAGAAACGTTAAAGCAGAAAAAAAATGTATCTTTGAATTGATGTTTTTTTAAGCTGAAATGTGCACAGGGTAGAAAATTGAAAGTATATAAATGGGCACACAGTGAAAAGTAACTCAGAATGAGTAAATCAAGTTCTCTTATTCCCCTACTTAAATCCACTGTTTGGGACTCACAGAGTTAAGCAGCCCTCTTGTCTGCCTTCGGATTTTACGTTTGATCACAATAACAGTAACTGTGATCTGGCCACTTTGTCCTGCTGTCCTCTGAATGTGCCATGCTTACTGTCACCTTTGGGCCTTTCCACTTCCTTTTCCCTTGGCCTAGAACTCCCTTCCCCTAATTTTGCTTCTCTGGCTCCTTTTAATCATCCATGTCTCAGGTTAGCTGCTGCCTCCTCTGAGAAGCCCTCTTTGACCAACAGGTGAAAGACTGACCCCTGCCCTCCTATTTTTTTTTTTCCTATTTATTTGCTTCATAGCACCTAATACTCTGATAGTCTCTTAATTCTTCCTTTGTTTAATGATTCATTATCTCCCTCCCTCCTTTGTAGGGAGGGTAAGCCTAATGAGATGCAGGGACCTTGCTCTTCTTGTTCATCACCTAGAAGAACAGTGTCTGGCATGCAGAGATTGTTGATTGAATAAATACACCCTTGAATGCTCAAATGAATAAATGTGCTGGTGTTTTTGTAGTCCATCTCTCTCTCTCTCTCTTTTTTTTTTTTTTTTGGATGAGGGATAGGATAACTCGCTCCAAGCATGCTTTTTATTATTATGTATATTGTTTACAAGAAGGCACACAGGTGTTCAGGAATCATTATTTGATCTCCTAATACGGCAGACAAATGCCTTCATAGTCTTCATGTTCTTTTTCTGACTTGGGCCTTGTGGCACCTGGGTTGACTTTGGATTTCCCTGCTTGGCTGACATCTAACAGGTTCCCAGGAGGTACTTCTTTTAGCTTAATGGTATGTGGCCCAGTGTTTTTGAGTCAGCCAAATGAGGTTACCAGCATCAGAGAGTTTTCAGACACACTGTGGTTTAGCCTCTTCCCCTTTTTCTACCATGACCCTCAGAGCCAAGCGAACCTGAGCCATTAACATTGATACAGGATGGCTGTTGGATGTTCCAGTTCCTTCCATGGTTTGTACCCTTTAGGAAGCTGAGCAAGCAATGTTTTGGGTAAACAACCAAGCAGTTTTCTTTTTTTTTTTTTTTTGAATTATAATCCATTTTTTAAACTTTAAATTGACAACATTTTCAGGCATAGGTAAGAATAAATCAGTGAACCTCCATGTACCCAACACCTAAATTTTAACTGTGGCCAACTTCATCTGTACCAGTGGTTCTAAAAGTGTTAATCCTGTAAACTAGTGGCAACAACACTGCCTGGGCACTTGTTAGAAATACAGATTTCTAACTTTTGAAAGAATTTGAAAAAATTCTACTTTTGAAAGATCTACTGAATCAGAAACTCAGGGTGGAGCCCATCAGTCTGTGGTTTAACAAGATTTCCAGGTGCATGTGATGGCTGCCAAAGCTTGAGAACCACTATATAAACCATTCCATCTCCAATCTCTGCTGGAGTATTTTTTTTTTATTTTATTTATTTATTTCATGAGAGACAGAGAGGCAGAGACACAGGCAGAGGGAGAAGCAGGCTCCATGCAGGGAGCCTAATGTGGGACTCAATCCTGGGACTCCAGGTTCACGACCTGAGCCGAAGGCAGATGCTCAAGCCATCCAGGTGTCCCTCTGCTGGAGTTTTATTTTAAATATTTTTAAAAATATTTTTAAATTACAATATTTTAAATATTTTAAAGTAAATATCATTTTATTTGTAAATACTTTAGTATAGAAACAATTTTCTTTTACACACAGTATCTCACAGATTGGCACATTTAGAGAGCAACCAGCCAGTCGGTACCAGTATTTACATAGGCTTATCCTTTGACTTCCTACTTCCACTCAGAGAGACCTACTTGACAGGTATTTCATGATGTCTATACAAAGTTGCTCATTGCAGTGCTTCAGATGGAGAAGACTTGGAAATACCACATGTCTAATAGTGAAAGATTGGCTGAGTAAGTTGTTTTATCCACTCATGGAATGCCAGAAAGTTATTACAGAGAATGATGTCGTTTTTACTGTTAAGTAAGAACAGCAATTTTCAAAAGACTTGGCCCTGTTTTCTCTTTTCTGTGTGAGCTTTGTGTGTATGTTTGTAAGAATGTGTTTATGTTGCGTATGTGAGTTTAAGCACTAGAAAAAGGCTGGGATGTTCTATACCAAAATGCTAATTGTTATCTTTGGAAGGTGTGATTTTGGTTCATTTCTACCCTTTTCCTTCCTGACTTTTCCCCCCATAGCAGAGCATGTATTTTTATAATGGAGAAAAACAATAAATTTAATTTTGAAAAAAAATCCATTAAATTGTAATCTCATGATTATTAATCTCCTCATTTCTGTTGAAATGATAATCTGTTCTTGGATTTACAGATGGACACTTTTTGGATTCAAAGAGATATGCCATTGTTGGAGCAGATCTCCGAGATTTACCTGAACTGGAAGAGAAACTAAAGAAATGTAACATAAATCCACAGTGAGATTTTTTTTTTTAACCTCTTATGCATTTGCGATTTCTTGCTAATATAAGGCCAGTTAAAATTGCAGCATGATAACATGCATCCCATTTTTTATTCTGAAATGTTTATCATTTCATTGTTCCTGAGAGTGGTTTTCTGAAATATTCTTAGAAGCAAAATTTCCTCAAGCCTGTTTTCACATCAGAATTACGTGTTACTTTTGTAACATACTGATGCCTAATATAAAGTTTGAGAGAAGATAATTAAATGCATAGAAACCTGTAATTGCAATTATATAAAGAAAGGACTAGTATCCAGAATACATAAAGAAAAACTACTGTAAAAGAAAAAAGTAAGTCCCATAGGAAAAAGGCAAAAGAGAGATGACACGGTAGCTCAAAGAAGAAATTGAGTGTCAAAAGAGAGATGACAAGGTAGCTCAAAGAAGAAATATGAGTGTCATATGTTGAACCTCAGTAGTGATCAGAGGGAACTCTATTTTTTTTTTTTTACTCCATTCAAGTTGGCAAAAATGTAAAAGTCTGACATTATCAAGTATTGGCAAGGTTTATGGGAAAATGAGAATGGTCAAGCACCACTGGTGCAAGTGAATTTGGTGCAGTCATTATGAGGAACAATCTGGAGGTTCCCCATGAGCAAGTATACTGTATGATACAGTAGTGTGTTCTACTTTGGGATGTGTGCATCCCAAGAAGGTCTGCATGTATCTACAAGGAGGATGTTTGTCATGGGCACCATTTTTAGTAGCAGAAAATTAGAAACATTCTGAATGTCCATCAAGAATGAACAACATGTAAAATACATGACCTAGATCAACATGGAGAGAACTCAAAAAACATAATGTATTAAAAAAAATCAAGTTGTAGATTAATATACACAGTGTGATACCAAGTGTGTAAAATCAAACCCTCAAAATACTATATATACTTCGATGATTACATGTATGTATCACAGAAATATTTTAAAAATGGACTGGAAGTGTTTACATCAAATTCTTGGGAACAGGTACCTTTGGGGAACAGTGGAGGGGAGTGAAATGCATGGTTTTAGCACACTGATGCTGCTCAGAATTAGATTGGAATTCACCAGTGGGGGAGGTAGGTAAAAGACATGTCTACACAGCTTACTGTCAGTGAAGATGACACGTTCAACAATATTTGAGGTGAGTAACTCAAGGGAGAGGTTTGAGGGGAACGTAGGGGAAATGGAAAGTGACTTTAAAACTAAGTTAAAGGGGCACCTGGGTGACTCAGTGGTTGAGCGTCTGGTTCTGGCTCAGGTCGTGATCCTGGGGTCCTGGGATTGAGTTCTGCATCAGGCTCCCTGCGGGGTGCCTGCATTTCCCTCTGCCTATGTCTCTGCCTCTCTCTGTGTGTCTTTCATGAATAAATGAATAAAATATTTAAAAATAAAGAAAAATAAATTGAAGGCAAAGATTCAGTGGCGAATGATTAAAGAGAGTTGCTACTAGGGAAATCACCAGTAGAGGCTGTAAATGGGACAGAGGCTAAGAGCCTTGGAGGGAAGGGAAAGATCTCACTCTTCTGAGAGGGGAGGAAGGAGAGTATAGGCAGGTCACAAATACAGATGAGCTTTGGGCGATACACAGGAGGGAGTGTAGGGAGTTGAAGCTTGACCTTCCTGGTACATCTTTCTTTTTTTTTTTTTTTTCCAAGTCTTATCTTTTAATAAAACAGACATGACAGATTGTAGAAATCTAAATGAACGTTTCTCCCTCAAAGCAGTTACATCCTTAGTTCCAACAAAACTATCACGGTTGGAGCTGCTACTTGGAACTCCTCTTTGGGGGAGAGGCCTTAAAATGCAGTTTATGAGCCACATTAGAAAATATCCTTCCAGGCAGCCCCGGTGGCCCAGGGGTTTAGCACCACTTTCCGTCCAGGGTGTGATCCTGGAGACCCAGGATCGAGTCCCACGTCGGGCTCCCTGCATGGAGCCTGCTTCTCCCTCTGTCTGTGTCTCTGCCTCTCTCTTTGTGTCTCTCATGAATAAACAAATAAGATATTTAAATATATATATATTCTTCCAAATGCTGGATTGTTTAAAATCAGAAAAGCCACTCAAATGACACTGATAAGGAAAAAAAAAAAACAGTGAGAGAGGTGCTGTGTGTGGCTCTCAGGGAGGTTCCCTAACGACTTCCCACAAGTTCTGAGCAACAGCACCACCACTGCAGAAACAATGTGTGGCCTCCTGGGTCTTTCTGCTGCTTTCAATAGGAGCGCATTCATTTGGATAGAAAAGTTCTGCTGTCTAATAAGAAAAAAAATCAGCCACACTTTCTTATAGTCACACTTGCAATCTGATGTAAAAAAATACCTTGCACATGGTTCTTGTATGAATTCTAATTAAGAGACATTACATTCGGAATTATAGCACTCATAGTGATCATTTTCAGGAGACTGGAACAACTTCTTTGCCACTGAAGGGGTACACAGGGTGCAGTTAGCTGTTTACCTGAATGTATTCTTAAATACGCGACTACTACCGCTCCAAGTTTCCTAGTTGTAGCTCTGTTACAAGTTCCTGACCTCAAGTTCACGTTCCAGACTTTCTTTGCCCACACGGGCTGGTTACAAGGGAGCCAACCCCGCAGTCTTAGGGTGAATTAGGAAAGGGCCAGTTAAATGAGGAGACAGGCCACTCCTTGGTGAAAGTTTGTAGCTTTCTTTCCCAATACATCTTCTTTTTATTGAGAACTTCCATTTTTATGCTGTGTTCCTCCTCTGTCTGCCATCTCACACTCCCGCTCTATCTGCTGGATTTTGGCCACATGCACCTCGTTCATTTGTATCAGCTGCAGCTGTAAGATGGACATCTGTTGATGGTGTTCTTCCTCATGCATCTTTTTAAAGCACCTTCCTGGTTTTGCTCCTGGAGTGTTTATTGGCTGTGATTCTGACAGGTGAACTCGAGGGTTCAGGTGAGAGGTCCCCTCACACTGGAAAATGTATGAACTCTTTCTCATCATCGTACAGTTCTCTATTTGAAACAGCGAATGATTCTTGGGCTGCGTTGTCAGGGTGGTATTCCGGCTCCTCATCTGGAGGGCTCCGCAGGAAGTAGAGCTGCCCCGGCAGCATGCTGGCCATCTTCTCCTTGAGCACGTGCGTGCTCAGAAGAGGGCTGACGCTCCGTTTCACCTTCTCTCTCCTCTCATGGGCCATAATCTTTTTGGTCCGAGCCTTGATGTTCTCCTAGCACTTCTTCAGCTGTCTGAAATCCCACAGTGACACGCTTGGCTGAGAGTTATATTCGTGGCCGAGCGCCTGCCAGGTATGCTGCTTGAGTGCAGTAGTTCGCGCTTCACTTTTCTTACATTCCAGCACTTATTTGTACTTTTCTACCAAAGCAAGCAGGATGGTCTTTTCCAACTCGGAGAAGTGTTTGGCAGGTTTTATAATTTCGTTGTTTTGCATTTTCCACTAAGTTTGTCCTGGCTGTTAGCTATCCTGCAGTGACGGGGGAGGGGCCGGCAAGGTGGGGGTGGAGGCGGCCTGGAGGGCCCCGGGCTCCCAGAGCGGTGGCTCCAGAGCACCAGGCTGCAGCAGTGGCCACAAAGCCCAGGAGCCGAAGCCCCCTCGCGGGCCACCTGCGGGCTGCGGGTCCGTCAGCCACATCTTTCGTTAAAGTGGTGATGGCTGTCATCCCTGCACTTTGACATTCTTGTTAACGTGGTTAGCCTAGAAAAACCAGTTTGTCATTGTTGGGATTGGCATCTCCACCTGCACAGATGTCCAGGATGGCACTCACTAACCCAGTGCTTACTATCTCTTTGTCTTTCTCACTGAGTGTTCAGAGAGCCAGGTCAATGCACTGTACGTAATATGCCTCTTTTTTCGTTTGGGAAACCCTTTATATGGTTCCCAGATCGCAGCCTGTAGTGTATTCTTCTTTTAGAAGCAGTGATGTTTCACCTTCAAGGACACCACTGGTTTTCTTGGGGGCACAGTAGTGAGTGAGGATCAATAGATTACTCAAAGCTGACACTGGTATACCTGGAGCTCTCTCAGAATGAGGAGGGCCTGAGTGTTGGAATCTGATCATGGGTTCCAGGTGACCTCTCCTGCTTACAAGTTCTTTAATAGGGACAGTTTTGTTTTGTTTTGTTTTTTCTTAAAATCCCCCAGAAGCCTCTCTGAACCTTCATTTCTTCATTTATGAACTGGAGTAAAACCTACTTTATAAGACGGTCTTGAAGATTAAGTATGCTTGGGAAAGCAGTTGAACAAAAATTTGCACATAGAGTCTCCTGTAGATTACTATTGCCACTGTGGTAACCAGCTGCAGCCTCCTGCCACTGTAGTAACCTGCTATTGGAGCAAATGTGCTAAAAGACCAGGGAAATAATCCATTAAAATCAGGCTAGCTCTTCATAGGGAAGTTTGCCTTGCTTTTGGACATCTACAAAATGGATGAAGAACAGTTGCTATGGTAGAAGTGTTAGAATTACATATGTAATTCTACAGGACTTCATTTGTGCTCTGTGTTTTCCTCTATGGCTGTCTTCGCTTTGCTTTGCTTTCACTTATATTTTGAAAAGTAGGAATTCTGTTTTTAAAATTACCAATGGCTACCTCTTTAAAATACCCTTAAAACTTTAACTTTTCATTTTCAAATAATTCGAATCTACAAAAAATTTGTAAAAATAGTATAAAAAATTCCCATGTAGACTTCTTCACCTGGCTTCCCCACATGGTAATAAGTCATAATGGGCACCTTTTGCATTGAACAGGCTTTTGGAGCTATATTTCTCTAATTGTCAACCTATTGAGGGTTTGGAACTTTTTCCCCACTCCTTCTTCACTTTTTCTAATCATTTCTGTTTATATAATTTGGGGTTTAAAAACTTATTGCTGGGATCCCTGGGTGGCGCAGTGATTTAGCGCCTGCCTTTGGCCCAGGGCGCGATCCTGGAGACCCGGGATCGAATCCCACGTCGGGCTCCTGGTGCATGGAGCCTGCTTCTCCCTCTGCCTGTGTCTCTGCCTCTCTCTCTCTCTCTCTCTCTCTCTGTGTGACTATCATAAATAAATAAAAATTAAAAAAAATAAATAAAAACATTGCTAATTTTAAAAATATATTTTTAATGTTTTTCTTTCTAATTTTCAACTTTGCTTGCAACTCAGACTTAATTGACTTTCTTCTGGTTCTAGTGCCCTTAGTTTCTTTCTACCATGATCCAGTTGAGTCCAGAGAGCATTTGGATATATATCCATAAATAACTTGAGTTATATAACTTTCCATTGCCCCCCCCCCAAAAAAAGGAAATCCAGATGAATAGTAACAGTGGATAATTGATACTGTCAGGTCAGAGTTGGCACTTATTTGTGGGTAGACTTTCTGGTGATTGTGGGTCTGTGCACTGAGTCCAGCTATACAGCTTCCATTCTGACAGTAACATATACCATATTCTTTTCAACTACTTCCTTGGGCATTCGAGTTCAGATAATTTATTTGTTTTGAGATCCCTCACCAATAAAGTTGGACAGAAGTAACACACTTGTGGGGCACCTGGGTGGCTCAGTTGGTTGAGTGTCTGACTCTTGATATCAGCTCAGGTCATGATCTCAGGGTCATGGGATTGAGCCCCATGTTGGGCTCTGTGCTCAGCAGGGAGTCTGCTCAGGGTGCTCTCTCTCGCTCTGCCCCTCCCCCTTCCCATGTGCACACTCTCTCTAAAATCAATCAATCGATCAATCTTAAAAAAATAAAAAAGAGGGATCCCTGGGTGGCGCAGCGGTTTGGCGCCTGCCTTTGGCCCGGGGCGCAATCCTGGAGGCCCGGGATCGAATCCCACATCGGGCTCCTGGTGCATGGAGCCTGCTTCTTCCTCTGCCTGTGTCTCTGCCTCTCTCTCTCTCTCTCTCTGTGACTATCATAAATAAAAATTTAAAAAAATAAATAAATAATAAAAAATAAAAAAGATAACCCACTTACTTTTTGAGTAAAACAGCAATCAGCCCCAAGGAACAGCAATATATAGGAGCAGAGAAGGAAAGAGGATCCAGTAAAGGAGTCAGGACTAAACCAGCAGAGCTCACATAATTTGGAGCTGCCCATGTTCCCTTTTAAGAATTAAGGCTTTTAGAGATTTCTCTAGGAGTTTATTGTTTTTCCTATTCCATCATTTGTTCATACTTCAGGTCTGGTAAGTCAGAGTGCACACTAGCAAGTGTCATTTCCTGAAGACTGTTCGTGTTGTTGTCAATTCTCAATGGTAAAAATTTAGAGAAGAAGAATTAGATTTGGTTAAATGAGTATCACTATTTCTGCATTGTATCAGTTTTTGATATGTAACAAAATCTCACCAAACTCAGTGGTTTAGAAGAACTTATACTTTAGAACAACTCACAATTTAGAGCAATTCATAAGTTGCTCAGGATTCTGCAAGTTAACAGTTGGAGCTGGGCTTCACTAGTTGATTCTTCTGCTGGGCCCAGGTATAGCCGATATCCCCTATAGTTCACTCATATGTGGACAGCAGGCAGATCAGGATGCCTGATTCCAGGGGAAGGGAAAGAGTATCTGCCTGTGGGATGGGATGGTCTGCAGTGTCACATTGTCACCATGTGCATGCAGGATGAGGGAGAATTTGTAGCCATGTTTACATACCACCACACACCTTTAACACTGTTTCACAAGCAGGACAAATCCTTGCTCATTGCTCACCTTTTTACAGTCCCAAAACTTTGGGTCGTGATGGTATTCTATATCTATTAGTACGTTGATTGTTAATGCACTTCTTCAGTACATCATATTCTCCTGGGGTGTGAAAAACAGAGTTTTCCTGCCCTGCCAGTACTGCCATGTGTGTGCCATTAGAGTTCCATTCATTTTAATGTATACTTGAAGACTTGATTTAATTATGAGAGTATGCATGTGAGTAAGGGGAGCAGCAGAGGAAGAAGCAGACAGGAAGATCTCCAGCAGACTCCCTACTGAGCAGGGAGCCCAGCACAGGGCTTGATCTCACCACCCTAAGATCATGACCTGAGCCGAAACCAAGAGCTGGTGCTTAACTGACTGAGCCACCCAGGCGCCCCTAGAGTCCCGGTTTGATGAATACATACATATGTGCCTGTTTTTCTTCTCTTAAGATTGCCAACACTCCTGATAACTGAATGTGTGCTGGTTTACATGACTCCGGAACAGTCTGCCAACCTTCTCAAATGGGCAGCCAACAGTTTTGAGACTGCCATGTTCATAAACTACGAACAGGTAAACGGGAGCATGAGGCATTTGCATTCTGCTTGTATTCCCTTGGTGGCTTACGCTCTTTGAGCAACTTCAGTATGCCCACTTATTTTCCTTCTACCTCTGGCCACTCACATACTTCCTTTCTCATTGATTGTTGCAATCCCCAGTATTCCTAATTTGTTGACCTCCTGTGAACCAATAGCCAGAGACTTTGGAACTTCTATCTTGGCCTTTGTAAAAGTTTTTTGAGTTCTTATTTTATCATTGTATGTACTATAGAGTCACAGACCATGATGGAGGGACTTTTGGCTGTCCTGTGGGTTTAGGGGTAGCAAAATCAGATTCCTTCAGAGGAAGGCTGGTGATACAAATGGACGGAGTTGGCCACTGTAAAGCAGGCAGGAATGATGGGGACTGTGGTGAACCAGAGAATCCATGTCCCATCTCATGGGGGTGGCCAGCTGGTTGTTACCTTGTGGGCATATGAGCCTAGAGTTGAGAACTCCCCAGTTTTTCAGGATAAATTACAAGGCAGGATTTTAAGATAAAATTTCTTAATTTCTAAGATCACTGAATTTGGTCCACTGGCTGCCCGTTTTTCTCTTCTGATCCTAATGGAAAGGGTTATGTTTTAGAGGTTTGGAATTATTCAGCTTGGAACCAAATCCTGGTCCTTGCTCTTATGTTTGGCTGTGTGGCCTTAGACACAATTCATGGTGGTTGGGAGTCCATGGTCTGGAGGTAAACTGCCTAGTTGCGTGACCTGGACAAGTTTCATAACTTCTCTGTGCCTGTCTTATTATCTGGAAAATGAAAATAATGACAGCCCGACTCCGTAGGGTGGTAGTGAGGAAAAAGCAAGTTAATTTGTATAAGAGCGTTTACAGCATTGCCTGGCTGTTAGGCAGGCATGAGCGGTTCTTTGGATCTCTCTGAGCCTCAGGTCCTTGTTATTATGGGTTTTTTTTTAGCTTTTATTTATTTATTCATGAGAGACAGAGAGAGACAGAGACAGGCAGAGAGACAGGCAGAGGGAGAAGTAAGCCTCATGCAGGGAGCCTGACATGGGACTCGATATGGGGTCTCCAGGATCACGCCCTGGGCTGAAAGTAGCACTAAACCACTGAGCCGCTCAGGCTGCCCTGTTTTTAAGGGATAACTTCTCTGGATTTTTATGGGAACTCATGAGATGATATGTAGCAGTGGGCACAGGACAAGCACTAAATACATGGTAGTTATTTATATTGATGCTTTTATTTTACTTTTATTGATTTAGCTCATTTTATTTTTAAATTTTATTACAGACTAGAGCAGTAAATGCCTTGCCCACTGCAACATATTATGGACAGATCTAAGACTAGATCTTGGTTGACCTTTTCACCACCCTGTGCCCCAAGCCAGATTCTTGTATAGATGGTTCTTGGTTGCCTTTTCTTCCTTCCCTCTCTCAACTGGGGGCATTCCTCAGACTCAGTGTGCAGTCCTGGTGTATGGGTATAAAGGTAGCTGGCTTCATCTGTCCTTTCTGTAAATCCTGAGAATACATCTTTGCCTGCAGGATCCATGCCTGGAGAAAATGAATTCTGCTGTTTACACATATTGTGGATATTCATCTAGCTTTAACCATCTTGTTTCATTTGTGTATTCTCTTATTCAAACAGCATATGGAGATGGTGGACGAAGTGAATTTTGACCAGACTGTCACTTGGGAGCAGGCATGGGGATGTTCCAGTTTTCAGTCTGTTGTCCACAGCCATCCCTAAACTGGCTCAATCCCCACCTCTCATCTCACTTTGTGAATCATAAACATTTAACTTAATTTCCTAACAAATACAGAATCATCAGCATCCCACGTGTATTAAGTGCTCCCATGCCTTGAGTGATTTTCTGGTCAGTCGTTTAAAATGACAGAAACTGCATGGGTGATGATCAAGTCAATACTGATAAAATAAGGATGGCAGATTTGTAGAATTTGCCAACTAGATAGTAGGCACATCCCATGAGTTTTATGTGTATTAACTTGTTTATCGCAATAGCCCCCAGGTTTTGTGGGTAAGGGGACTGAAGCACAGAGGGATTAGGTAGCTTGCCTGCAGCCTCACAGCCTTGCAGCTAGAAAGTGTCAGGCCAAGATTCAAACCCAAGCAATGAAACGACAGAGCATGTGCCCACAGACACCCTTCGATCCTGAGAGAATAGCGTGCATTATGACCATTAGTGCCTTAAGCCTCATACATCCACCAAAAGAGTAATGCTGGTTCTTGTCAGGCAGCATCGTCACAGGAACTCTGGGAAGCATTGTATGTATTAAAATGATGATGTTTTGATACCTTATATGTGATAGGGTGATAGCCTATATGCTATGATAAGGTGTACTGTATTCTGTTTTGTGGCATTTGTGTGTATATATACATTAATGTTTTTTTAAACTGGTTTAAAATGGTTCTTTATTCAAAAAGTAACACCACATGCAAATTTTAAAAAAAAATCAAATAGTACAAAAGAATAGGCAAGGAAAGGAGGTCTCTCTCCTACCCTGCCCTCTAACTTGGGAAGCTACATGGCCAGATTCCAGCATTATTCTGTGCATATATAAGCATAGAGGTTTTTTTTTTTTTCTTAAAAGCAGGTAGGAGCATATTCTACACAGTCCTCTATACCTTACCTTTAAGAGTTTATCATCATTATTTTATATCTGCGTCTGTATCTGCACCAACATGTGGGTCCTCTTTTCCAGTCCCAAAACTTTTCCTGTTTTATGGCAATGCAATAATATTCCATTAAATGACCATGCTATAATTTCTCTGATCCCAGATGATGGGCATTTAAATCCTTTCCAGGTTCTTCCTGTCACACATAATGCTGCCCTAAACATTCTTGTGCCCTCGCATGCATGTGTGAGTATACCTGCAGAACAGCTCGCTGGCAGTGGCATGGCTGGCTCCCAGGCTGAGCACACACCATCCAGTCACCTTCTAGGGGCTGTAGCGGTGTATGTTCTTGTTAGTCCTGGATGCGGTCCTGCACCTGCTTCTGTGACCTGCATTGGGTATTAGCAGATGTCAGCCTAGACTGGTTAGAAATAGAGTGGTGGTGTCTATTTTGCATATTTGAGAAACAAAAAAACCCTTCTGGCAATGCCCAGCCTCCTCTTTCCCTTCCCAGGTGAACATGGATGACCGGTTTGGACAGATCATGATCGAAAACCTGCGGAGGCGACAGTGTGACCTGGCAGGAGTAGAGACCTGCAAGTCATTAGAGTCGCAGGTCAGAGAGTGGGGACTGGGGCATCCTCTTGTACCCTTAGCCACTCAGGGAAGGGCATCTTCCCTTCACGATCAGAGAAGGTTGGGCTTTGTGTGGGTCACTAGGTCATCATGCTAGGGAAGTCCAAGCCTTTGGTGTGGAAAATACGCATTTACGTTCCCTATACCTTGTTATTTAAAACTTTGATTATGTAGATTTTCAAATAATATGAACATAGAGGGAATAGTAAAAGGAACACCCATGTCCCATCAACCAGTGTGTAATTCACATTTGACCCATATTGTTTTATTTATCCCCAGTTTTTGTTAGTGTTGTCATTGGAATATTTTAAGGCAAATCCCAGATAGTATATCATTAGAATATTAAAATATTCCAGTGATTTAATATCATAAATACTTGAGTGACTGTAACAGTCCATGTTGGTGTAGAAAATTGGAAAATAAAAAGAAGGTAGATAGGAGCTAGGATAGGCTTTCAAAAGAGGAGTCTTCTAAGAGAAATTCTCATGTGCTTAAAGACTGTCTTGGATTTGTACAACAGTGCCTTGTACCTTCTCCATTTCTCTCCATCATACATTCTAGAAAGAACGGCTCCTGTCGAATGGGTGGGAAACGGCATCAGCAGTCGACATGATGGAAGTGTATAGCAAACTGCCTCAAGCTGAAGTGAGCAGGTGCGGGATCAGCAAGAATTAGCATCTCAGCGAATGATTATGAATGAAAAGCATAGCTGTCTTTAATGTAAAAAAAAAAAAAAAACTCAAACCCTAACTAGACTTATTCTGAAAAAATTAATCCGCTGGTACAGATTAAACATTAATAGCACCTTGAAAGTAACTCATTAGCCACTCACTGAGATAGGGTTTATGCCAAAACAGATTATTTTAGTGAAAATAAGCAGCCACACCTGTAACACTCCCAGAGCACCCTCTGCGGTGGAACTTTTGCACAATCCTGGTGTTTTGGAGGAGGAAGAAAATGACGTTGTCCAAGGTCTCCTAAGGGGGAAAGGTCTGCTCGCAGATTTTTAAATGGACTTCTCCCCTCATTATAAACTACACTGTTCAGAAACAATTTTCAAACTATGACGTGCAGGAAATAGAAAGTAGTGTTGCACTCTGTAGGTGCACCTCTAGAAATTGCTGTTAGTAATAAGTTGCAGTGCATTTTTCTATGTGTATATGTAAAGGTGAATATTGATATATAGGTTTCTGTTTTTTGAATCTATAGATTCATGTTACATGCATTGGTCTATAAATCACCCTCCCCTTTTAGAAACTTAACAATTGATTGTATTTCTCTTTACATACCAAAATATACTGAAATATAGGAGGTTCCCATGTCCTGTTCAATGGTGCATAATATTTATATTGCTATGTAGATAGATTACATTGATAGTAATAATTTTATAATAATTAAGTTATGTGTAGAGCTGGGCATTTATTTGTACCTTGTTTTATTGTGCAATTTTGTTGTTAATTTCCCTGTTATAAACACTGTATTTATCTCTGGACAGTGTTCGTGCCAGCTTTAATTGAATTCGTATTTTATCGTTACCTTATGCTTCCTGGTTTGTGTTTCCTCATGCTTTTGGGAACCTACACATATACGTCTCTTACAATATAATCAGAAGAATTTTAGCCTTGTTTCTCCACAGAACTTGCTATTAATTTTTAGAAATAATCACTATTTTTACCAAGTGTTTACATCAAGGCCTTGAAGGTTTATGAAAGTGAGGTTTCCATGTGATCAGGTCCATATTTTCTTGAGTCTTCTAGAATTTTCTTTTCCTACAGGCTGGTTTTCATTTGTTACATGTCAAGGCAACTGTTTTTGAATAGCCCTGGTCAGGCATCGGTAGTGAAAATCCTCTAGCAGCTCTTCTGGATGCCGAGGGAGGAGGCTAAAACTGGAGAGAGCAGCTTTTTCTAGGCCGTCATTTGTCTCCTGTTGCCGTGGCCTGTGTAGCCAGCAAGGCAGATCCCTGACAGGGTCGGGGAAAGAGGTGGGACAGGCTATGGTCTGTTTGCCTGAGGCTGAACAGCCCTCTTGGCTCTGGGAACCCATTTGCCAAGGGCTTCTGCTGGATACTGTGTATAAAAAAGAAGTCCAAGGCAAGCCTGTTTACTTAACAAATACTGAATGCCAGCTGTGCACCATGTGTTTTCCTAAGGACAAGGCAGAGATCAAAACAGACCAAAAGATATGTGTGCCCTTGGAGTCCATGCTCTGGGGAGCAGCTTCACAATCTAGTGTCTCTTAATAAGCTAAACATGGTGCTAAATATCCTGGAGCCTTCATGTTGGTGCTGTGTTTTGTAGAACTTGGCATTGGGCAAATCTGCATCACGTGTCTTCCAGTAAAATGAGTTGGAAAGCAAGCAAAGTTCCTTAGGCATAGTCACTCTCAGTTCGGATGTGACTCTTAGGCCAGCCTACCGAGACGGATGTGCAAATACAGAAACGTGTGCAGCAAAGGCATGTATGTGCACCCCTCTGCACCCCCAGCCTGGACGAATGGCAGTTCCTGGCTATAATCAGTGACTATTGTGAATAGTGGGCATGTGGATAATTTTCTGTTTTCTTCTTTATACTCTTTTGAATTGCATGAAATTTCCCCCGGCATGCCCGTATTTCAACAGAAAAAGAATTTTTAAGTTATTTTATATGTTTTGCATATTTCTTTGTGCATATATCTTAAAGCTTACATTTAAAATGCTTTTTTGACAAAAGTCATACCAGTGCATGATAAAAGAAAACAGAGAATAAAGTAATGTACAGTAAAACAAAACCAACCCTTCCATCCTGTTCCCCTCACTACCAGCCTAATACTTGGCACATTATTTACTACACGGGTTACTTTTTGAACTCTGTGGTTGCCTTGGAGTCTGTTCCTGTCCGTGATATAGCCCTATCAGATAGCTGTGTGTTATCTTCTTGTATGAACATGCTTTAATTTATTTAACCCAGCTCTTCTGGTTTAGGGACTTGTGTTAGGAAGCTGTAGTGAATGTTCTGGAACATGAATCTTTGTACTCATAGGCTAAAATCTTAAAGGCAGAATTGCTGAGTGAAAGGATGTACATTTGTAGCATCGATAGAAGAGTCAGAGAGGTTTGTACCACTTTGTAATCCAACTAGTAACGTAGGAGAGCACCTTTCCCCATATCCTAGCTAAAGTGCATATCAGCCTTTTTTTTTTATCTTTGTCAATCTGATCATTGAAAAAATACCTCAGATTTTTATTTATGTTCCTTTTCTCTTAAATGAGATTGAGAGCATCTTGTTTTTCTCTTCTGGTGAACGTGTCTTTTACCTGTCTTTTAAAGGAGTTTTGAAAGTTTTTCTCATGACGTCTAACAGCTCTTTACAGAGTAAGGAAATCTACCCTTTGTCATTTATGTTGCAGATCTTTTTTTCTAGTTTGTCATTTGTCTTTTAACTTTATGGTGATTTTTAAATAATAAAAATAAATTAAAATGGAACCACACCATACCTACTATGTCGCAGCCTGCTTCTTTCCCCTTAGTATAACATGAACATCATTCTGTACGCATGAACTTGGGGGTCATGATCTTCATTTTTAATTGTAAAGCTTGATTTTGTCCTATTTTTGTTCTCCCCACAGAATAGAGTCACTTGAATTCCTGGATGAAATGGAGCTTCTAGAACAGCTCATGCAGCATTACTGCCTTTGTTGGGCAACCAAAGGAGGAAATGAATTGGGTATGTGGTTTTACTTTTGTTGATTGGCCCTAGAAATGGGGACCTTTTTTGGTCTCCAAACACCGTAAGACATGCCTGGAAAGAAATGGAGTATCAGACCTGTGGGTCCATGAGCACCAGACAGAAAATGAGCTATTCTATTCTCTGTGTTTTTATCACACAGAAACCAGATGAATTGTTCAGATAAATCACATATATCAACACTAACAAACCAATAGACCTTGAGAGTTTAAAGCAGTAATCTTAATAAAAGTAACCAACCTTTGTCTTTTGAGTCGCCTTATAAGCACGTTTACTAGAGGTCAGGACACAAATCATCATATGTGTCTCCAGCTGACCTGTGCAGCTGTGGGCCAAATTTCTCCCCCTCATATCCTGTGACGGAGGTGAAGCCCCCTAGCCTGGCAGAGGAAGGCTGGGTGGGAGTGTGGATCCTTGTGTCAGTGTTCCTTCCTGCCTCACTTCCTCCTTGACAACTGTGCCATGTGGGTCTTGCTTCTTCTGGTGTCCTCCCTTGGGCATCTCTCTGGCCCCCTGCAGACCATTTTAGATATCAGTGCAGCCCTGGCTATAAAGTAGCCGCCCTTCAGGCGTTCAGTGTCCTACAGATGCGTCCAAGAACATGCAGCCTTAGGCAGGAACCCCAGAATAAACCTAGAGCATGAACATGCAAGGTCAGCGGCCTTTGAGAACATTCCATGCTGACATGAGGCCATTCATCACGCTCCCTGGGCTTAGCATTCCTGTAGTTTATAAGCAGTTCAGCCCACAAAATCCTTTTAAATTTGTCTTTTTATTTAAAAGAATGTGTTCATGGGGTTTTATACTGTTATTACCCACTTCCCCTCTCCCAATTTAAAACAATGTCATTCTTAGTGGAGACTTTGGAAGCTTCTAAAAAGTCCAGTGAAGAAGAAAAATCAGCTGTGTGCCTGTCACTCAGAGAGAACCTCTAGTAGCTTTTTCTTTCCACTCTTTTTTTAGCTGTGTTTTGTTTTTAGCAAAACTGAATTTCTATGCTTAATGTACTTGGAGCCCTGATCTTTTCCACTTAGTATCATAACAGCCATTTCCCCTCACTGTGAGAAATTCAGCGTAATTTTAATGGTTTTATAAAAATTCTATCATGGGGGCACCTGGGTGGCTCAGTGGTTGAGCACCTGCCTTCAGCTCAGGGCGTAATTCCTGGGTCCTGGGATCGAGTCCCACATTGGGCTCCCTGCGAGGAGCCTGCTTCTCCCTCTACCTATGTCTCTGCCTCTCTCTCTCTCTCTCTCTCTCTCTCTCTCTCTCTCTTTCTTTCTCTCTCTTTGTGTGTGTGTGTGTGTGTGTGTCTCATGAATAAATAAATAAAATATTTTAAAAAAATCTATCATGATGCTACATCTGGTTTGACTCAACTTTGTCACACTTTTGGAAATGTAGTTTGTAATATTATTAAGCCAATTCTAGTTTTTCAACATATGGAACATTTTTACATCGAGGGCTGCTCTGTGATGTCAGTAACAAACGTGGGAGGTAAGGATCCGTCTCGTCTCTCCATATGCTCAGAGTTCATTACCGAATGGATGGACCTCTAGCATTAACCGCAGAGAGCCCATAAGCTGTGGCCGTGCTTTCTGAATCCCCTCAAAACCCTCCTAAACACAGCCTCGTCCAGCCTCTTGCTTCCTTGTGATGATCGCCTCCTACCACACAGGGGACAGAGCTGCCATGAGGAGGTGTCGCCCTGGGCCTGGGTCCAGCAGGGCCTTGTTCTCCCACCTTTGTCTGCTGTCTCTGCTCTACAGCATGAGTCGCTTGACAACATTTGTGTGTTTCCTTCCCTCAGGTTTGAAGGAGATTGTTTACTAATCTGTGGGAGGTCCATGCTGAGCCAGGAGCCGAAGCCACTGACCTTCCCAGAGTCGATGGGCCAAGTTTCCTGAGTGGTGGCCAGACCTGGCCCACCAGCCTCATCCACAACTGGAGAAGCCTCAGCTCCTAGGGTTGTCGCACCACCTGCTGTACCCGTTGACTTATCGCTAAATAAATCTCAGTTGTTGCCAATTGCCCGTGCATGGGTCCCTCTTGCCCCCGGGTTGGCTCTGGTTTTTTTCCACGTCTGCTGAAACCAAAGATCCCAAATCTTCCTCCAGCCTGAGCTTGCTCCCTGTGAGTCAGCCTCAGCTGAGACCCCAGCATCTGTGTGGGGCTTACTCCTGCGTGCTCGTGTGATGGCACCTGATGTTGCACCTGGCACCTTGACCTGGTTCTCCACCTCCACCAGGGGGTAGGACTCTGCCTCTGTCTCTGCCCTGACCCCGACCTGCCTGCTTGTGTCCTCCTTGGCTCTTGCAGCCAGCTGGACAGTGGCCCCTAAAATGTCCACTCCTGTCCACTCCTGAATGTGTTACCTCATATAATGAAGAGGGCTTGCAGGTGTGATTATGCTAAGGTCTCTGAGATGGGGAGACTGCCCAGGAGTACCTGTGTGGCCCGGTGCACTCACAGGGTCCTTACAAGGAGAGGTAGGAGGGTGGAAGAAGGAGGTGTGCCATTGGGCCCAGCGAGGAGCAGTGCACTTTGGAGATGGGGAGGGAGCCAAACCAAGCATGTGGGTGGCCACCAGCCGCTGGAAAGAGCTGGAGACAGACTCTTGGAGGCTCTAGAGGGAATGAGCGTGGCAACCGAGCATTGCGGACAACCAGAGCCCAGTGAGATGGATCCTGAATTTCTGGCCTCTTGAACTGTAAGAGATTAGTGTTTTAAGCCTCAAGGTTTGTGCTGATTTGTTACAGCAGCCACAGGGTACTAATGCAGTTATACAGGTGAATAGGGCTGAGGGCGCTTACCCTGTAATTCAGAAACATAAGGCCAATCCACCCTTGACCAACTTTCTGGTTATTGACTGGGGCCATGAACCTGAGCCTACGTGCACAGGATGGCAGTGAAAAGCCGCCTGGCCCTCCCCTCTCCCACTGAGCAGGATCCTGGGTCAGGGTTTGAGAGCATGTGCTGCATACTACTGCATGACAGTGAGCCTGTTGGAGGGTTGACACTGATACAACGTGAGATAATATCAAATCTCCCTGTGAAAAAGTCACTTCCTTTACAGGAATCTTTTGAGCCTTCTTAAGTTCAAGGAAAAATTCTCAGGCAGGTACTGGTAGGTCTTTAACACTTAATGTAACATTCACTAATCCAGTGGTTTTGAAACTGGAACCAAGCCATTCGTAGATGGTGAATCCATGTACTGGATCAAATCCACTATTTTGGAAAGATCTAGAATAGAAAATGTTACAGCACATTACTAGTAGGAAAGGTATTACTTTTTGAAACTTCATTTCTATGTAGGGATACACACACACACACACATGTATGTACATATATATACATACATACACACACATACATACCATGTTATGTTGTTCCTGATGTTCTGGTTTTGGTTTTGGTTTTGATCAGAGGTTCAGATCAGAGCGCCAGCACCTCACTAACAGGCAGCAGCAGAGTCTGGCTAAAATTCAAAACACCTTGCTTCGCTTCCATTAGATTTCTCTCTTTTTTTTTTTTTTTCTTTTTATGGATGGCCTTCTATTCAGGGCAAATGATGCACCATTCCGATTGACAGTTGTGTTATGAGACGTCCCTTAAGGTACCTACCGATTTCATTTTACAGGGGAGTTCCTTTAAAGACAATTACTAGGAAAATTCTAGCAGGGGTAGTCCAGAGATGTTGCAGAAATCATGGAGGTGATCATTGGAAATGCTGAAGTTGAGAAGCACGGCATGGTGGCACCAGCATCTCACGGTTTCCCATGGGAGTGCAGAGGGCTACCAAGGGCAGAGGGTCGCCCCTCTTCCCGCAGGGGGTCTGCTTTCATGCCCTGCCCCTGCCATGGACCAGATGACGTCACTGGTGAATTCTACCAAGCATTAAAGAAGAACTAATACCTGAAGTGTGTTCCCTTTCAGGTTGGAACTTGAACCCCACTTTCTGTGGGAGTTCTTGCCACTTGCTCCCTCTTCTCCCGCGCTCTCATCTAAAACCTCTTGTAATAATTTCTACACATGCTGCTTAACTCAGAAGGACATAAGTGACCCCGAAACCACCACACCCGGTGACCCCTTCTCAGTGTTTGGCCGTCTCAACTTCTTGGCAACATCTACCATGGTGACCAGCTTTCTCCTTGAGAGGTGTTCTCACTGCCCCTCCCTTGGCTTCCTAGACACCCCTCCATCGACCTGTCCCTCCTTTTCCCCCCTCTCCATGCCCAGGGCTTACTCCTCTTCCAGGAAGCCCAGGACTTGGTGTTCATGGATCACCATGGGCTTCTTCCTCCTTCCGCCTCGCTCCTCCTCTCTCCCTCCTCTCTTCTGTCTCCTCCCTCCCTCCCTTTCTTTTTCTCTCCCTCCCTGCCTTTGGCCATTCTATCCTCTGGTTAACTCCATGCCTTTGGTTATTCTAGGTACCTCATATAGGTGTAATCACACAATATTTGTTCTTTGTGTCTGTCTTATTGGACTTAGCATACTGTCATCAAGTTTCATCCATGCAGCATGTATCAGAAATCTTATTCCTGGGGCTCCGTGGTTGAGCATCTGCCTTCAGCTCAGGTCGTGATCCCAGGCTCCTGGGATAGAGTCCCACATCGGTCTCCCTGCAGGGAGTCTGCTTCTGCCTCTCTGTGTCTCATGAATAAATAAAATCTTAAAAAAAAAATTTCATTCCTATTCTGAGGCTGAATAACATTTTATTGCACATCTATCCCACATTTTGGTTATCCATTCATCCATCAAAGGACATTTGGGTGTTTCCAACTCTTGGGCACTGTGAACAATGCTGCTATGAACACTGGTGTATAAATACCTGTTTGAGTTCCTGCTTTCTATTCTTTTTGGTATATTCCGCCAAGGTAGAATTTTGGATTATATAACAATTCTGTTTTTAATGTTTTGAGGAAGCTCCATACTGTTTTCCATTTTACATCCTCATCAGTTAATGTACAAGATTCCAATTTCTCTACAACCTGGCTAACCTTGTTATTTTTTGGGTTGGTTTGTTTTGCAAATAGGCATTCTTCACACAATGAGTGTGAAGTGGAATCTCAAGGTAATTTTGTTTTTCTGATTCCCTAATGGTTGGTGACCTTGAGCATCTTTTCAAATGCTTTGTATATTTATAGTTTTGGGTCTCATATTGATGTCTTTCATCCATTTTGAGTTAATTTTTGTACTTGGTAGGTAAGGCTCCATCTTCATTCTTTTGCATGTTCTATCCAGTTTTCCCAGAACTATTTGTGAGAGACTGTCCTTCCTTTCCCTGCCGAATGATCTTGAAATCTTTGTCAAAAAGCATTTGACCATATATAGGAAGGTTTATTTCTGGGCTGTCTATTCTATTGGTCTATTTCCCTCCTCTCCATGCCCAGGGCTTCCTCCTCTTCCTGGAAGCCCAGGACTTGGTGTTCATGGTCACCATGGGCTTCAATGCCATTGTTTTGATCATTGTACCTGTATACTAAGCTTTTTTTTATTAAGGTTTTATTAATTTTTTATTTGACAGAGAGTGCACAAGCAGGGGGCAGTGGCAGGCAAAGGGAGAGGGAGGGAGAAGCATGTTCCCTGGAGAGCAGGGAGCCCAATTCTGGGCTTGATCCCAGAATCCTGGGATCATGACCTGAGCCAAAGGCAGAAGCTTAACCGACTGAGCCACCCAAGTGCCCCTAACCTTTTTTTTTTTTTAAGATTTTATTTATTTGAGAGAGAGCATGAATACAAACAGGGAGGGGCAGAGGGAGAAGCCAACTCCCTGCTGAGTGCAGAGCCTGATGTGGCGCTCAATGTGGAGCTCAATCCCAGGACCCTGAGATCAGGACCTGAGCCAAAGTCAGTTGCCTAACCAACTGAGCTGCCTTGGTGCTCCTATAATAAGCTTTTAAGTGAGGAAGCATGAGTCTTCCGTGTCTGTTCTTTTTCAAGATTGTCTTATCTGGATTTCCTTGAGATCCCATATGAATTTTAGGATGGGTATTACTATTTCTGCAAAAACCATTGTTAGGATTTTTTTAAGTTTTTATTTATTTATGATAGTCACAGAAAGAGAGAGAGAGAGAGAGAGAGGCAGAGACACAGGCAGAGGGAGAAGCAGGCTCCATGCACCGGGAGCCCAACGTGGGATTAGATCCCGGGTCTCCAGGATGGCGCCCTGGGCCAAAGGCAGGCGCTAAACCGCTGCGCCACCCAGGGATCCCCATTGTTAGGATTTTGATAGGTATTGCATTGAATCTGTAGAATGCTTTGGGTCATAATGACAGTTTGAGGGATCCCTGGGTGGCGCAGCAGTTTGGTGCCTGTCTTTGGCCCAGGGCGCGATCCTGGAGATCCAGGATCGAATCCCACATCGGGCTCCCGGTGCATGGAGCCTGCTCCTCCCTCTGCCTGTGTCTCTGCCTCTCTCTCTCTCTCTCTGTGTGACTATCATAAATAAATTTAAAAAAATAATGACAGTTTGACAATATTAAGCCTTCCTATCTATGAATATGGGATGTCTTTCTAGCTATTTATTAAAATCTTCTTTCATTTCTTTCAGTCATGTTTTAGTTTTCGGTGCACAAGTCTTTAGTCTCTTTGGTTAAGTTTATTCCCAAGTATTTTGTTCTTTTTGGTGCTATTCCACTGTAAATAGATTTTTTAATTGCCTTTCCAATTATTTCTTTTTAGTATATAGAAATGAAACTGCTTTGTGTGTGGATTTTGTAGCCTTCATCTTTGCTGAATTTGCTAATTTTAAACATTTTGTGTGTGTGTGTGTGTGTGTGTGTGTGTGTGGAATATTGCATACTTAGAAGATCATGTCATTTGAAAGACAGTTTTCTTTTATCCTTTGCAGTCTGGATGCCTTTTCTTTCTTTTCCTTGCTTAATTTCCTCAACTAGACCTTGCAGTAGTGTGTTGTTGAGAGACTCCTAACTCTGGGAAATGAACAAGGGGTAGTGGAGGGGGAGGTGGGCGGGGAGGTGGGGTGACTGGGTGACAGGCACTGAGGAGGGCACTTGATGGGATGAGCACTGGGTGTTATATGTTGACAA